ATATGTTTTAGCCAAAAACTAAAACTAAAGTTTTAGCTTCTAATTCACTAAAGGAATGCTGCCTGGTATTGCATCTTAGGCACCAAAATGTTTATTTTCTTCTTTAAAAAGGAACTGAATCATCTGGTATGAAAAGGGTTTATGTACATAAATAAAAACTGTGCCAATTTTTTATCTGATTAATCTTCATAGTAATCAATAGATTAATCGATTACTAGAATAATCGTTACTTGCAGTCCTACTAATAATATGAATTGCAATAACAAAACAATTACTTAAGTCTACAGTGGTAAAGTTTTCACCTTGGAATATCAGGTGGTGTAAACATGACGTTTTTTGCAATGTAAGAAAACTTATATTATAAATACGACAAGATGATTTTACTGATTAATATTGATTTATGCAGCATATTAGATCCTGGAGATTGTTAACTTGAGTATGCAGACTCAAAAAAAGGCCATTCAGTAAAAAAAAAAAAAAAAAAAAAGATATGCAGTGAAATTAAGCTAAAAACTATTTATGTTTATATATATATTATTATTATTATTATTATTATTATTATTGTTATTGTTATTATTATATTTATTGAAATAAATGCATTTCAATAAATATATTTATTTATTGAAAATATGTTTCAGTCAAAACTCCTCAAGTGGTGTAGTTTTACTTCATCTGGTTCAAATGAAGGAAAGCTGGTTTAGGCAGCAAAATTTGTATTTTCTTATTTTAAAAATGAATTGAATTATTTGTTTATTTGCATCTTTTAATTTATTTTTTAATATTAACCTGCTGATACCCTTTTCTCACCCAAAGGAATATTATACATAAATAATCATTCAGTAAGCTGTGTGAACTGTGTTTTATTTGAAAATTAAAGGTAAAAAAAACATTACCTATACGAGTAAAAAAAAACCCTAACCAATTTCAACATCACTGCATACGACTCTCAACATCATCAGATTTGAATTGTGAGAATATCTTTGTACAGTAGCAAACGTGATTTTTTGGGGGGGTGAATTAAAAGACTACTGTAAATCAACTACCTGATATTTAATCTAAACAATACAAAAGTCGAACACAGCTGTCTTTTTGTTTCACCTAAACTAATAAGTTAAAGTCAAGTTATTTTATGGCTCTCTGATTTATTTGACTTGCAACATTTGCTGACGTAAGAATTTATTCCACAGATTTCTCAGAGTTTCAGCTTCCAACAGTCAGTCCGATGCCGATTCAGTGATCGGCATTGGCAAGGAGACGTCTGACCGATACACAGCATATGTTTATAACTTATCAATCAGAGGCCAATCAAGAAATAACTGGCTAATTTCAATCTCCAGATAATTATCGATTGGTGTACATTTAAACTTTAAACATTTCCGAAATAAATTTTCGCAAAATTTCCGCAATTAGTTAATATGTGGTATATTCTTTCTAAAAAAATAAATAAAAAATAAGTCAAATAAGCATGCAAAAGTATTCCGATTTTTGCATTTTTGGTCTTGTTGATCAAAGAAAGAGTCAACTGAGGAAAAATGAGTCAAGTTTAAACATAAATAAATGTAACTGTAAATAAGTCAAAGTCGTAAATAATCAGAGGCTAATTTTATGTGTTAAGATGCTTGCTCACATATAAATACATGACGGTAACAGCAAGAGAAAGCAAAATCAGTCTGTCAGACATTTGAATGGACGATTATTACATATCAGAGAGGTTTAAGAACATAAGTTTTGGACAATAAATTACATTAATTCTACTTGAATCAAACAACAAAACCAATCAAGAGACGTGGATTTTTTTTCCCCTCCAAGTTAATGTGATTAATTCCAGAATTGGAGCACATAAAAAGTCTGCCCAGATAAAACTCAAAGGAGGAAATAGGAAGAGAAAGGAAATTGGTATCGGTCGGGAAAAGTCCGACTGGTGCAGCTCTAAGTAAAAGCCAGTGAATGCAGATTTTATGACACACGCGTTCAGAAACCGTGTCTGATAATTCATATTTTGGTCAATAACAACGGCGTACAAGACAGCCAAAGCTGTTTTAGTTTAAACATTTCAACAAGTGTTATCTCTTCCTTGTTTCCTCCCAGCTCATCCCAACTATCTGGATCAGTAGGGACAGTATCCGGTCGAATTTACCGAAACGCAAATTTTGGCCGTGCACCGAACAGGACAGAATTTCACTGGGAAAAAAAAAACTTGTTCACACTTAATGAAGAGCTCGGACTTATGAGCAACCATGGAGACTTAAAACAGGAGGACCTATAAACCGCATCAACAGATTGCTCGCTAGCAACCGAAAGGCTAACAACTCAAGAAGCTGAACTTTCAAAATGGAAACACTGACTGAACCTGTCTTTCTTTCTCTGCCTGGTTTATCCATTCTGGAGACAACTTACCAAACGGAGAAGTGTTTTGTTTTTGTTTTTTTTTTTCCTCTGCCACCGTCGAATCAACTCCAAACTGGGTTAAATTCAGCCAACTTTGCACGGTAGTCCCAGAGCCTCGGTAGTTAGTTAATACAGAGGCTAGCAGTGTGGCTAATTTAGCTGGTTTACTCAGCTAGCCAAATGACTGGCTATCCCGTCTCAGGTTGCAGTGTTGTTGACAGGACCGACCAGACAGCGCTGAGCAGCCAACAAGCAGTCTGACTGGTTAGCTACAAAGATCCATCAAGCTGGACACACGGGCTACCGCCTTTCCGGTCAATACTTTCAAAATAAAGGACCATGAAAGTAGAGCGCTTCTGCAAAACAGTTGAATGTGATTTCAAAACCCGTCTTCATCAAATCCATATGATTTTTTAAAAATAATTAGACTGTAAATGAAGTCTGAACATTTCTAGTAAGGAAATCTGTACATTCCTGTGGTTGGTGCCGTGGTTGTCTTGACAAACAGTTTTCATGCCTGTTTTTTATTGCTTCATTTTCCTGAAAAGGTTTTGCTGCAGGAGTTCAGAATTCAAATAACCACATGTGAAGGTGGAAGTTGAGTAGAAATATGCATATAAAGGGCAAACAAGAAATATACAGAAGTACTGGAAAAAGCTCTGTTCAAATATGCCTTTTATGATGTCAGCATAAAGCCAGGTGAGCAAAGAGGCTTATTTTGAGGGATGATTATAATTTATCTTGACTTACAGCAAAATTAAAAACAAACCAAAAACACTATAATGTTTTATATATGACAAGCTATAGCTGAGTTGTGCCGTTTTTACAGAAAGGTATGGTTAGCAAATTTATTTTTTTCAGTGTGCCGCTGACCTTCACTTTTGGAAACACAAAAATTATATTTGAAAGATTATATGTTAGAAAGATTACAATTTTAGTCATTAAATATTCAAGATAACACTACCCGTCTAATTTACACATACTGGAATCGTACTTTTTTGTGAACCTAAAGCTGAGCAGTTTTTTTTTTTTTTAAATCCCCTTCACATAAATTCAAATAGGTAGATTTACAGAACAGAGGAAAGTATCTTGAACCAATTTGAAAACGATAGAACATTAATACTATAATGGGGAGCAGAATTAAAAAACGAATCATTTGCGATACCTTATTTCTAAAAGAACATGTATTTTGAATAATAGGCTAATGGCACAAAGAAAATCTTAACACAGATGCCTCTTTCTTCCAAAGGCATACAAAAGACTTTAAAAAATGTTGAATTCCACACTAAATGGCGAACTTCAACACATTACCGAAGTGATGCAAAATTAAAAACAGTAAGACTGCCCGAGAACCCAATTTAAAAGGTACGTGAATAAAACCTAGTAATCCGAAAGTGTGAAGTGTTAGCTTCTAACTTCCGGTTTCCAACGAACGGAAAATAAATAACTTTACATACATTTGTATTTGGATAATAAATTTGATACAAATTAACAATCTACTCTAGTAAAAAAAAAATCAATTAAGTCTCAAAGAATAACTTGTATTTTAATTGACTACTTTGCAGCAGTTTTCCACTCGGTGGAGAACGGCCAGTGACAGCTTTGCCTGGTACACTGTGGGCGTTATCAGCACTGCCCTCTTGTGGAACAAGAGCAGTACTGCATGAACATGATTTCAGAAATTACGGTACACGGTTATAATTGTGCATAAATCTTTATTTGTTACAACATACTAACTATGCTGTCTGCCCCATAAACCTGCTCAAAAATATAGGTGAATTGAAGAACCCTAAAAAAAAAAAAAAAAAAAAAAATCCAATCCACTTCATAGTTAGCATGAGCCCAAATCTCAGCAATCCTCCAGCTCCGCACATCCTCCGGCACACACAAACAAATTTCAACTGGGTATAATGATAGTTAGGGTAAACATTCCCAATCAGAAAATGAAGCAGGACAAACTGAAGGAAAAAGAAAGTGCGTGTTTCAGCTTTCAACAAGCAGAGATGCTTTATAGAGTGAACAGAACTGATATTATTTTAGTTAACAATACTGTTTTCTTTCTTGTACTAAAACATGTCCTTATGATAGAGCTAGAAAATGCAACAGCTCCATCTTTTCCAAAACTATTTGGAAGGCAGGCGTCCAGGATGATGTGGTGTAGGTGCAACATACCTGCAGCTGGCTGACTGCTACTCTAGTATGAAGCACCTCCACATGACCTGGCCTATATTATTATTAGTAGTAGTAATACATCCTAGGTGCAATACTCTGGAAGCTGTGTCAAACTATGTACTTGGAAGATATGAAATGTCTGAAAGCTTCAACAAATATTAGAAGACAGCAACTTGTTATATTCGTTTACCTTGCATCGGAACTGCGCGGTTACCCAGAAAGCTTTCAGTGTGATGGGTCCGGTTGGACAAAAAAAGACAAACTGATTGGAAATGAAACTGATGGGAAAACAACTAAAGCAGCAGCAATGGGATCTGAAGTAATGTGAGCTTTGGCTACACGGTAAATCCTACTTTCATAGCTTAGATTTCCAACGTCTGGGGAGGAAAATAAAACACAAGCAGCAGGAAGACCCAAAGAAACAAAATCATTAAATGAACTTTTTTTTTTCTTTCTACTTTGTGTGAACCATGGATGTGCTGAAGAGAAGTTTCTGTTTCTTCTTTTTCTTCTTCCCTCCCTTTTCATCTGAAACACAAGATTATGAGAGAGTGAGAGAGTGAGTGAGTGAGTGCGCGTCGACTGACAGCCAATCGGATCGTTGGACGATGGCACGGTTGCTGACCTGGTTCTACCACAGGCTGCGGCGGGGCGGCGGGACCGCTGTCCAGCTGCAGAAGGGCCTTCTCGAAAGCCCGACTGAAGGAATTCTGAAAGCTGGGCACGGGAAAGCGATCCGAGCCGTCGCTCTCACCGTCGCTGTCTGCCCCTGGGGGGGCGAGCAGCTTGTCTGCACGGGAGAAAATGCAATCCGTAGTCAGAAATTCTCCTGAAAGGATATGTACAAACAGCATGTATAAAAGTTCATGACGTTTTGCTTTCACCGATGTGCTTCAACTCAAACTCATCAAACCACCATTGTTGCATTTAACGCAAGTTATTCCAACAACAACCCAGACCTACCATTCGTAGATACTAGTGAAATTATTACAAAATGTTTGCTGGAAACAATCCTATCAGTCGAAAAAATGGATTTCAGCTCCTTGACCGATTCACGTTTTGCCTTTTCCAACCGCAACCTTCAACATATTTCCATTAGGATTCATTGTGATACAGTAACTATCTGAAGCAGTGCAACATTTCAAATTGGAAGATAAATGATACAATTTTTCTAAAAAATGAAAAGAAAACGTTAAAGCCTGACACAGATTTACCTTAAATTTCCTTTAGTAAAATTTTAATTGCAACTGGAGCTGGAGTGTTTGCTTGGTTCTGCAAAGTTTGTTCAAAACCTTCACAGTTGTGTACTGGGTTATGCTAAGTTAATCTAAACACAGGGAGGGCCTGCAGCTCCAGTCCTGCAACTTTTAATGCACTTCTGCTCCAACACACCTGAATCTAAATGGCTGAGTGGGAAATGTGCAAATATTGAAGGGCTATAACTACTCTTTTTTTAAACATCAATAATTAGTTAAATGATTCTTTGGTTTGTGTCACCTTTCTTTGGAGTGACCCTGAGCCCAGCATCAGCTCTGGCTTTCCCGTCTTTCAGCATCTACACAGAATTAACACATGGAGTTAATCACTTTGTCGCCATTGGTTGATCTACATATGTTCACTGAACACACACCTGTGCAAAGGACATGCAGTGGGAATCGTCCTCCACGCTACCCACAGTAGGCGAGGACACACTCAGGCTCGGGAAGCTAATCCCATCTGAAACGAAGGAGGAGGAGGGGGAATTTAGAGGGAATTTTATAATGTTCCGACACGGATAAAACCTAAACGGGAATCTTACCTGAGGAAGGGCTGGTGCTGAGGGGAGATGGAGGAGCTAAAGTAAAATCGGGTTGGATTGGCGGGCTGCTGTAGTGGGGCGGGGAGCCGAATGCTGGGAAATGATGAAGGTTCTCCAGTCCAATATGTACCTCGGGATCTGACAGGACAAAAAGAAACGTCAACCTGGAATCGCACAGAGAGTTCTACAAGTTTAAAGTGACTTCTCTTACATTTCCCCTGCTTCTTGTTCTCCTCCATTTCAATGCGTTTCTCCCTGCGTTTTTCATCCCTCGCCTTCTTCTGCCTCAGGCGCCTTCTCTTCTCCAAGTCATCTAAAAGTTTGATGGATAACTTGGGTGTTAAAAAAAAAAAGAGTCTTACATGCTGATGGTGAAGACTGTTAAAACAGTACAAAAAAAACATTAAAAAAAATAAGTGTCCAAACCAGCAAACGTGTCCAGAGTTTCTTTGGACAGGATCGGCGGCTGCAGGGCCAACTCGCAGATGCTGAATTCGCAGGTGAGCGGCAGGTGAGCCAGATAGCGATGCCGACGACGGATCTCCTGAAATAAACCAACAAAACAGTTTTATTTGTAGACCTAAAGCGAACATGTTGACAAAGTAAATCAACTCTTTTTTTTATTGAAAAGAAGAGCTTTAAATCCATTTATTACTTTTAGTAACTTAATACTTGTTTTCCACAAGCATTTCTTTATTTTTTATTTTTTGCTGACCTCATTGACTGTGTGTCCTACTATCTCCACCACTGTGGCAGTGATGGAGTCGGGACAAGCCTCCAAGCTGCCGTATTCACGCAGAAGGCAGCGCACGTTGATGGGATGCAGGAACATCTGCTGGCAGTCGTCAGCTGACAGAGAGGAAAAAAACATTGAATTATTTAAAACCAAACTCTAAAGCACACAATCTAATTTCTGCAATTTTTTATTTGTTTTTTTTTTTTTACAAAATTTTGAAAAACAATGATAACAAATGATGAAGATAATCTCTACACACATGGTGTTGGACAGGGGAGGGAATTGCACACCTTGGTAGAAATAGTAGTACGGTCCGTGCACCACAGCAGCAGAGGGGCGGGCGGACTCCATCTGATTGGCTGGGCTCTCTTCCTCCAGCTGGGGCTCCGGCTCAGCCTCGGGGGGCTCCTCCAGGACGCTCTCGGGGGGCTCCTCCAGGACGCTCTCTAGGACAGCGTCGGGACTACCTGGCAGCTCTGCAGCTGTGTCCTGTGGGAACTCCGCCACCTCGTCGTCAAAAGCCGAGGAGTACTGCAGCACAGGCTGCAAGAGAAATGAGGGACGGAGTCTTAATGTAGAATTTACAAATGCAAACAATCAATCAACTCAATTAATTGTCAGTTAATGGTTTATTAGATTAAAATTAGTTCCAGTCAATTAACTAATAAAGTCTTCTTAGGCCGTTTTTTAGTGTTGTAGTTTGGCTGACATCCAGCAGAGGGCGTTATTGGTCATCCTTAAGCGTGTCAACTGAAAATTACAAAACTGAAGCTTTAGCACATTTTCACATTTTATAAATGTGAAAGTTTAATAATGTGAGAAAATACGATAAATTTTTTTAGTATTTAATACAGCTGATACAAAATAACATTTTTTGTCGATCAACTTTAGATCAACTAATTTATCGATAATTTGCAACCTTACTAAGAACTGTAGATAAAAGAAAATTAAAATGCAAGGCACGTATTCTGATCCATCACAAAACAGGCGGTTTTAGAGTTACCTTGGCACTGAGGGTAGTGGTCACCACCTCATCCAGCAGGGAAGGAGGATCGTTCAGAGTCAGTGGGGACAGGTCAGGGATTTCTGCATTAGCCACTTGATGCTTCAGCAGAGTTTCCTCCTGCTCCTATCATCAAGAACATTCAAACAGTTATGTGCTTGTGTGTTTTTCTAATTTTATATCCTTTAGTTGCTGCTCCTTGAAACGCATCATCAGGAAAAACAGTCCTACCTGCAAAAGACAGAGGGCGCTCTGGATGAAGCAGCCCTCAGGTTCCTCCTCCAGGCTCAGCTGAGCCTGCAGGATTCCCTTCTCCTCCGTTACCAAATCCAGGACCTGCGACGGGGATGTCAGCAGCAGCTTGGAATACTGACTCAAAGAAGCGTCTACAAAGAAAAAAGATAAATAAAGAGAAGTTACCATTATTCTCTGATGACAAATAAAAAGCCTTCCAACCTGATCAATCAACACAGGTATTCCTATGAAGTCAGTGACAATAGAAAAGTTTCTCAGTCCAGACTGCACTAAGAAGGAAATTTAAACAGTTTATTTTTTTAAGTCAGATTCGTCTGGGAAGGAGTGAATGTGTGATCGTGCTCTGACGCGGGTCAGAAAAGCGAACATGGGTCTCGGTTTGGTTGAAGTGAACTCCAGCGCGATTAAAATGCATAATGTGATCACCAGGAGGACCGGAGCACAGAGCATTCTGGGTAAATGCAACCAAAACAAGCCCGTGCTCTAGCATTAGCGGGAGAAATGTCTTGAGACCTTTTAACAAAGACAAAAGAGAAATCCTACAACTGCTAAAATCTGATGCTACTCCATTTCTGTTTACATTTAATGAAGAAGGAAGTTGCACTTGTAAGGTTTTCATGTCGTTTCCTTCAGTAGCTCTTGGTGCAGCGCCACCACAGGTGAAGAGACAAACACGTTTTTCAAAGGGTTTTGGTTTGTTTGACACAGAGCAGTGTGAAAGCGGATCACACCAGCTGAATATGTAACAACTGTTGCAACTTTGATCCCCGACTGAACCGGACTATCAAGTGTGAAAACACGCCAAGAAAAGCCACTTGCCTCCAAAGCGGACAGGCTCCTCCACCTTCACCCACTGGGAGCTTGGCATAGCCACCAGAGCCCCCTTTTCTCTCCGCATCAGACGCATGGTGATTTCGTCCCCGACCACATACTGCTTGGTTTCCATGGCAACCACACTGCAACAATAACAAAAAAAGTCCAGTTTATATACTCACACTGTCTGAACACACAAAGAAGCTAAGCTACTTCTGTGATTTAACAACTACTCAATTGTTTCAAAAGTAACATTAACTGCATCCTGTCTGCAGCCTTTCTCTCCTCGTGTACCTCTTCAGGTCAGCTGTGTGCACGGCCTCGTAGCAGATGGGGCACTTGGACCAGCTCTTGTCGCTAAGAGACAGGTAGTGGAGCATGCACGGCCAGCAGAAGATGTGTCCACACCGTGTGATGCGAGCCGCCACAGGAGGATAGAGGCAGATGGGGCAAGACGGCATCTCGTGGCTGTAGATGCGCTGCCGATGCACAGAAAACATCCGTCGTTACGCAATTTAACCTCTTGTGGACATAAGCTTGGATGGATCCATACTTACCACTTGCTGTACACAGTCCCAGTTGACCAGAGTGTCTGGGTCAGTGAAGTGAGCCTTGTAGTCCTGGTCATCAGTCACCACAAACTGGCAGCTGAAACACGAAAACATCACGAGTTTAACATTAGTTTTCTACTTCTAACCTCTTGACTGAAACGTTTAATCTGATTAATTGTTATTAATCGATAACTAAAATCATTTTCAACTCTACTCGACTACTTCAGGGTCTGCTTACTTGGCCTGGAGGAAAAGCTCCTTGTTGAAGGGCTTGTTCTTGTGGCCCCACTTGTTCCTGCGGCCCCAGTAGGAGTGGCCGCCGTCTCCGACGCCGTCGTTGCCTCCGCGAGGCTCGAAGGTGAAATTTAGCAGGTGATTCAGGCTGATTTTTTTGGGTCCAGCAAATTGAGCCGGGCTAAACTCGGCCCGGCGGGTCTCTGCTACCTGCAGACGCACAAATGAGAAAGTTAGGCTCAAAGAATCTGCTTCCCCCCGCAACCCCCAACAAAGCGAAGATGACGATGGAGAATACGAACCTCCTCACGTCGTCCTCCGCCCAGGACTCCATACTGTCGCCCCCCGCCTCTCTGAGGAGGTCTCTTGTCGAAATTCTTGCTTTTCTGTGAATTGGTGCGGCGAGGGCCGGGGAAATTTTCAGCTTTGGGAAAGGAGGGCTCCCGCTTCCGGTTGTAGCGCTTAGAGCCCCCATTATTTTTACCTTCTGAGACAGAAATAATAAAATAGGTTAGATGAGGCAATGTACATAGTTATTTTCATAACTGCAGTGCATTTTGACTCTGGGGCGACTTAATGTCTCAAGCTCCCTTTTTTGCAATTTAAACCCCAGGACTCCTGGTGGCATCATCGATTTAGAGGACCTCAAGGTCTGCAGAAATGAAAGAAAACTAAAAAAAACTAAAATAAAATATTGAGATGCTCTTGTCAAACTGCTCCTTCTCCACCTCTTGCTGCACACTGCTCAGCTGGTTCCTTAATTTATGACAAGAACAAATTCAACACACAGTTCTAGCATTGAAATTAAATGAGCACCACCAATCAGTCTTATTAAGCTAATCTCTTTTTTTAAACATTTTCCGACTGCAGGAAATCTTCAGGAGCAGATAGCCCAACTACTCAACCAGCAAAAGCAGATCATTTTACAGCTACACAAGCTTTCCCTCTAAAGAGCTGAACGGCAAACAAATTAACAGTCTAGAAAATTACTACAAAATTTATAACAACTTCACAATATCAGCAAAATGTCCAAAATACAAAAATGTGGCTGAGCACCGTCATGATGATATGATCTGAGACAAACACTTAACAAAACTGTGTTAATATCTTTCTGTTTCAGGTTTGTTAAAACAACTGATCCAAAATGGTGAGTAAATTAAAATGAAAATTTTTTAATAAAATCATTATTTTTGTGTCAACAAAGAGACTTTACTGAAAAAGTTTTACTAGAAAAAAAAAAGCTCCTCCAACTAAGCTGCAGTAGCTTAATACACATTAGTATTGAATACAATAATACTGGTATAACAAACATGCAACATTTTTTAAAAAGTTAACTGTAATAATATTTTAGCATGAGCAACAGGAACTGTCACTTTTCAACAATGAATTAAGATAGTGGTATTGTTGTTCAAATGTATTTATTTTATTTATTTTTAAATGTAGCTAATTAAGGAAGCTGCTGACCTACAGTAGTTTGGATTTTTTTTTCAGGTAACTAAGCTGCTAATCATTTAATGAAGCAAAGACTGGTTACAAAATGTTCAACTAAAATAAATAAATAAATATTAATATACAAGGTAAAAAAATATTATTTTCTCTCCCTTTTTTTGTCTGTTTTATTCTAGGTGTTTGTGTTTTATTGGTTATGTTTTATTTTATGGACCTGTACAGCCCTTTCAGGTCACTTTGGGTGTGTAAAGTGCACCGTGAATAAAGGTTAATTTATACTGGCTTCCATCAAAACTAACTTAACTTTCAATGATTAAGAAGTTGAACTGGTGGAGTTTTAGCTGTCACGTATGGGAGAGTTGTGGTATATTAATCCGGGGTATATAATATTACATGTAAAAAAGCTGTATGCATGTGTCAGCCGCAGCTCTGACTGCTGCTGGCTCAAATGTTTTGATGGCGACGTCAGTCGCTCCTGATAAACAAGCTGTGCAGCGCTGCTGCTGCTAGGCCCCAGCACGCCACGGGGAGTTGGGGGGGTTTTCGCTGCAAATATCCAACAGCTTTACAAACACAAGGAACAATTTTTGAGTGTATTTGTACCTGTTTTGGGCTTAGATTCTCCAGGCGGTGGGCCTGTGGAGCTGGAACGGGGCGGAACCTTGTTGCTGGTGCTGCTGTTGGGGTTTTTCTCCATGTTTGTCTCCGTGCAGTGAGCGCTGTTCGGGCCGAGCTTCTGGCAGAGAGCCGCCGAGCTCTCTAGCATTAAACGGGGAAACGGAGGACAATAGCGGGTTGCAGTGAGTGCGGGTCAGGCGGCGAAGGCCCTGATTCATTTCTGTCAAACGCGGAGACCCCATCACGGCGACATCTTGACCATAAAACAAACCAGAGAAAAATAAAGAGACACGGTTATGGCGTCTCAAGTCGTGAAGCCTGGCAGAGGAGAGGACGAAAGCTCGCCAAACGGGGCCAAAACCCCCTCTGACTGTCGGGTTTTTGCTCGTTAAGGAAAACAACGTGCCCTTAACAAGGCGCTAAATGTTTTCCAGAAGCTGGAAAACAACCCAATTTGGGAATTTTAGCCTAAAAACGAGGTCCGTAGTAAAGAGCGTGCACTAATGGCGACGGGTCGCCAGACAGGAACCTGAGAGACCCGGATGTTTCTTGTAACGCTGCCAGCCTAGTTAGCGAAGATAAGAGCGAGCAACTCTGGGAAATGTAGTAGAACTCCACTCACGATCTGAAAGCCCCCAAATCTTTGAGAAAATGTAGAAATTACAAATCTGTTGGACTTACAAATTTCCTCACTTGCCGCCCCCCCATAGGAACTATAATATTTGCATATACCGCCTCCACCGTTATAACTGCTTAAATATGTATAAACAGTTTTAGTATGGAAATTTAAATTTAAACCCCTAAAAACTTCTAATTCAGGGTCCATGTACTCAGTACAGGTAAAAATCTAAAAAAAAAAAAGAATCTTTTTAACACAACCACAGTTGTCACTATGTTAATGGCAACCATAAATATTCCTGTAAAATGAATAGACTCGTAATTTCATTGTTACTTTTTTAAGGTGACTACCATCTGGAAACCTTATTTCACTAATGCATGACTTCCTGTTGCTTTAACAAATTTAGCATGATTAAGGTCAGGGTTTTTTTCTTCTCTCTTTTTTGTCCCTATGCAAAGTTTTAAGAACAAGAGAACATGCTTTTTAGGGCAGATGTTGATTAACCTGCCAGGAAATGGCCATTGAAAAATAGCTCATTCAGACAAACCAGCATCTACTGTATAATAACGAAAAAAAGTTCAAACAACTGAAACAAGGTTCACTGGATATAGGGTTAAGAATTACAGCAGTATGTGGGATTTCAAGTAAAAATAAAAATTTAAAAAGAAGTAATGGTAGTTTCTCTTCAATAATTAAATGTACTGCACTGATTTGATTTGTTTTTTTTCTTTCATCTATCTACAATTAAAATCAATTATTTAAAATGACTAAATGCAAACACAGTGGGAATGTCCAGCCATGCCAAAATCGGAAGTGTACTGTCCTTCTGAACAAAAGCCAGTAATATTAAATAGCATGTTGTTTTCTATTGCTATAACAAAATCTAGCCGTTTGCTTCTACTGCTGTATTTGACAATAAATGCCATTGAATCTACGGCTGGTTTTTGTGAGCATGTGGAGAAAATAATGTAAAAACAATAAATAATTATATACTATGACAAACACTGCTAACATCCCTCTTCTTTAAAGGAAAAAAATGTCATAGACAAAACATAAATACCTTTATTACATAAAAATGTCAAACGTAAAATTAGATTACAATATTATTTTTAGCATGCCACGTAACTGATATTTTTATGCTGACATACTTTCTGGAGAAATTGTAGAATATTAGCCATGCTTCTGTTAGGTCTCATTAATTATTCAAAGTGCGATGTTTACATAGCCACTGAAAAACCCTATAAAACGAAATAAAAGAGAGATTCCCTTGGTTCCTTATTCATCATCCTCCTCTTCACTCTCCAGCTCATCCTCCAATGCTTTGTTGCCTCCACCTGTTAGAGAGCAGCTTAGAATTGCTTCTTGAATCTTCCTTTTTTCTTCTAAAAAAAAAAAAAAGAAAGAAAGACATTGGATCAAATGAGAAAGAATTGATCAAACCAGAAAGAACTGATCAATTTAATTAATTCATTACCTTTATTTTTATATTTAGGGAGCATTTGATGGAGCTGCCGGGTGTTGTATCGGATCAAAAACTTCTGACATGTTCTGATTGTTCCTGTAGAGAAGTAACCACTCTAAATTTGATAGTGATTTTAATGTATTTCAGTGTTATTTTGTGTGTTTTTTTCCTTTTTACACCTCACCTCCAACATGCAAACAGTTTAAGAAACATGGGATTATTTGTCCACGACACTCAATGCTTGTAATGAATGGCAGAGCAGACCAGAGGAGTTTGTAACATCCTTTGTGGAAACGGAGAAACACAATTCCAGTGTGGGCATTCAGATATTTCACTGAAGGAAAACAAAAAAACAAGAGACAGAGAGAAATGATTAAAGTGTTAGTGAATCAAATTCCTGCACCAGGAAATTAAACTACCACCTTATATTTAGACCGATGACAATACACGAGCAATGTTTTGAGTTCGGGAGTACCTTCATAAATCAAAGGCGAACAGAGCATTAAGGCAAGCAAATGTTCCAACTCTTCTGGTTGAACAAGCTGTACCTCTTTTGTCAAAGTGTTTTGCAAAGTCTTTAAAAAAAATCTCAAGGAAACTTAAATTCATCTGCAGATGTTTTTGTACATTTTCAGAAAAAATACAGTAAAAAAAACACTAGCACCCTTAAAAGAAAGCCATTCTTCAGTCATATCAACTGTATGCCCCCTTTGATGACATTAAATCACAATTTGAAAGACAAATTAGTTCATTCTGATACTGGAAAAATATAATTCACCAGATGCTGGATCTTTTCACCAGTCAACTGGTTTTACTTTTGCTGTGATCCTTGTGCACAGTGCCGTAACTCATCAGACACAAAGTGTTTTGTTTTCTTCAATTCTTAGGAAGTCCAATTCTTGTATATACCTCCATATGGAATGGTTTATTGGTTGGACTTCTTTTATTGCTGATTTGAACTTTTTGACCTTTTGCATGTCTTGTTTGTTCAATGTTTTAAAGAATACAATGCTACATGTTACAGTGTTAAATTTTATGGCATATAAATGCTGTGGTGAGCTCCATTTTGATCTGTTCGTCCTTTCTTTAATCTGACTAAACATTGCCCTCCAAGTATCCTTGTCTAACTGTTTCAATTTGTTTAGGTACTTTCATTAATACGGTTTTCACTTTAGAGTCTGGTGAAGAAACAGATGATCTCAAACAGTTAGTGGATTTTAGTTGCACAGTAAAACACCATAAGTTGATCAGAGCCCCTGAGGTCTGTTTTGTCTCTGCTAATTTTGATGTTCTTTAGCTGAACAGCTCCTGTTTAGAGCAAGATATGAATCCTGATTTCAATTGTATCAGTTTTATCCCGTTGTACTTATCTACCAATTCCTACTGACGAGGATTTCGCATTTACAATGAACGGTCAATGTTAAGTGCTATTTTACTGCAGTATGCGGTCTAATCAAGGAAATAGTCCGACCACTCCATGCACTGACAGCTTACCGCAGAATCGGATGCTGCAAAGAGCTGCTCCGTAGTCACCGTGAGTGCGGGCCACTGCTGCCTTCACGGACCCCGCTACAGCTCGATCGTCCAGCTTCAGCAGGTCGCGCCTGTCAGATACATTTATCTCACATAACAAATACCTGCCGATATAAACAGATAACATCAGAGATGCATCTCAAACACACAAAGGTAACTAAAAGCACGTGTTTTACCTCGACTTCACCCGCACCATCGTTGCTTCTATTTTTCCGCAGGAACTTCCGTCAACAAAACTTTTGTGTTAAGCTGTCGCGCGAGCGCCACCATGCGGACATCATTGAGAAATATATTATGCTTTGGAGACCATTCATAGGCGGCCAGGAGTCGAAAAACCGTTTGAGCTAATATTCAGACGAGAAGCGAACGCTAAACGTGCATCAAAACATACAGAATACGATTAGTTTTTATCAACTCTAGGTATACAGAGTCGAAATACAAACGGGGCGATCTAAACATTAAACCATTCACACCCCTTTTGGTAACCATGGCAGCCTCAATCGCTTCCAGCCAATCCCAGCCTCAGCTTTCCATCTCTCTCACGCTTTACGCCATCTTGAAATTATAGCTTCAGTTTGTAAAGTGCCTGAAATACAACAAAACTGCTCCTTTATCGCCTTCGTGGGCGATATGAACAGTTCTCGAAACAAACCGTCACAGGCAGCCGGGAAGGGGCAGAAGGACGCAGACAAAGCGGTGGAGAGCAGCAACCGTGACAGAAAGACCGGCGGAGGAATGCTGAGGAAGCTGAAGTCAAGGCGCAGCCACACGGATAAGTGGCCTTCGGTCACAGAGGATGAGCTCCGGGCTTTAGGACCAGATATCTCCCCGGACCATGTCCTGGGTCTGCGGGTTGTCACGGAAGGTATCCTATGAACCCAATAAACGTTATCTTTATAAGGTTTGATAACAGTAGGCTTAGGGAAAAAATGTGCTAATTGTTGCTAATGTTAAATGAACGCTTTTCTATCCACCTCTGGTCATCTTTGAAAGCGTAGAAATATTAACAATTAGTTTTGGGTACAGTCTGTTATTCGCTTAAAATTGCCAGAAGGGAATGTAGTAATTATGGGTTTTATAACTACTGCTAGTATGGGGTTTGGAGTATCTTTTTTTGTTATTGTGTTTTGTTGTTGTTTTTTTCAATCTGAGTCTCTGACAAAACAGTCCCACAGCCTCATAGATCCTCCACCATACCGAACACTGTGAATAAAGTGCTTATCTTTCCCGTCAAACCCACTTAAAGAGTTTTTGTTTTGTTTTGCTGAAACTAATTAATATTAGTTTCCAATAATCTCCACAGCATCAGACTGAACGTCTCTGTGGTCAGAGTATTTGACAGGAAGACAGAAAAAAGTTTTTTTTGTTTGTTTGTTTGTTTGTTTGTTTTTTTTCCCTGCATCACGCACATGCAGTCAGTTGATGTCTCGTGGTTGTTATGAAGACTTGCTGACCCAAAATATGGCTTTTTCTAACATCAGCTTCAGGTTTATTTTACAATTTATTTTTAATAAGCCAGATAATTATAGGTCCTTGTCCAATTTAGAGTTCAGTGACCAGAAGAAGTGGTTCTTTGGGAGACATAATTCTTTAGTTTTCTAAAACAAAGTTTTTAAAAAAAACTCATCTTCACCAGGGATCCCATAAAACGCTTTTATTTATTTATTTATTGTGCTCTATGTTGTCTACCCTGCATAATTCTCTTTAGCATCTTATATGAATTACAGCCCATCTGCTGCAAATCTTTTAAAACATGGTTAAAATGAACTACAAAAATGGGAAAGACTTCCTTGGATTTATTCCAATCTCCCCGTCAAGCAGTGACCGCCCTGTCTCATCATGAGTCTGTCAGAACCCTCCAAGTTACAGTAAATCCTTTCATTAGTCATCAGGCGCTCATTGGACTGGAGTTTAATCTAGCATTTCTTGTTATTTGGGGACTTTTCCCGGACCACACAATGAGTTGCTTTCCTTCTCTCTTGCTGTACTTTGAAGGTGTTGCATGGTCTCTCCACCCTGCGGGAAAAGGTGCAGAGGTCCTTAACCACTACCTCAATATTCAAAGTAAAGACATGTTTGAACATTTTTGTTTGTGGGTTTCTCAAGAAAGGAAAAAAGTAAAGCTTATTGCTTAGGACAAAACAGGATTTCCCCAACTGTGGTCCTGATTCAGCTTTTCTCCGGTGTTTCAGACTACCTATGCAGACCTGAGGATAATATCTACAGCGTCGACTTCACACGGTTCAAAATCAGAGACCTCGAAACCGGAACGGTTCTTTTTGAGATTGCCAAACCTCCAAATAGTGGTAAGTGGTGCATTCAATTTACCCACCATGGACAGCTTGTTACTCCTAAATGCTAGGTGCAAGTTACAACCAAAGGTTATGGAGTCGTTTTGAGGGGCTTTCATACTGAACGAGCTGCATCTAGATGTGTCTCAGTGATGTCAACAAACATGAAAACAGCAGTGTTCCTTGTTAAATACTACCTAAAAGTCTTTCAGTGTCTATTTTTTTCCTACTGGAAAGTGACCTCGTCCAGGTTGTCTCCCAGGGTTGCCCTGCATTTAACTCCGTCCTTCTTCCCCATATACCTGACCAGTTCCACTCTGTGATGTGAATGATATTTGCATGGCCTCCAGTGAATTCATTCTCTGCTTTAGGTCATGTGGAGAAAGACGAAGAGAGCGGGGATGCAGACTCCAGCGTGGGGCGTTTCGTCAGATACCAGTTCACACCTGCCTTCCTAAAACTGCGCACTGTTGGGGCGACGTAAGTCCCTCGGCCTCCAACAGTCATCGTTACTCAACGCTTTCCATACATGCTTAAAAAAGGGTCTCTGCTGTCTCTTTGTCCAACTGCAGCGTTGAGTTTACAGTGGGCGACCGGCCCATCAACAGCTTCCGTATGATCGAGAGGCATTACTTCCAGGGACGGCTCCTCAAGAACTTCGACTTCGACTTCGGCTTCTGTATACCCAACAGCCGCAACACATGCGAACATATTTACGAGTTTCCACAGCTTCCCGAAGACCTGAGTGAGTTTACGTCCCATTGTCAGAAATACCAGATCGCTGCTCTTCCTCCAGTTATCCTCACGTTGACTCTCTTTGTGTTTCTTTTTCTCCTGTTTCAGTTCGCCAAATGGTGGAGCACCCATATGAGACCAAATCAGACAGTTTCTATTTTGTGGACAACAAACTGATCATGCACAACAAGGCAGACTATGCCTACAACGGTGGGCTTTAAAACCTGAAAGAAGAAATGGGTCCAGGATCTCTTAGTTGGAAAATGTCCTAGATTATACCCTTCTAAAACTTCTTCCAAAACAGGGTGTAGAAGTGGTTTTTTGTTGTTGTTGTTGTTGTTGTTGAAATTATTAGAAACTGGACCAACTCTGCCTTACTACAAAAACACGGATCCATATGGAAGTACCTCGGGGAAGCTCAGCTTCGTGGACTCACAATAACTTTGCTCATGATTTCTGTATATCTGACTGAAGTGTTTGTTCTGTTGTGTGTTTTGGTTTGTCACGTTACTGCTTGAACCCTTCGACCTTAAGAGTTCACACTGTCTCTGCTGGAAGGGGACGCTTCTGGTCGCAGATAGTTAGGAATGTAATTCACTTAAACACTCATGTTTATTTAAATGACCCGTTTCTACTGACAATTGGATTTCCTCAGTGGGAAAGCAAGCTTAATATTTCTCAAGCGTTTTTTATCCTACTGTTTGATGAAGAGATAGCATGAATTGTGTTGAGTTTTTGTTATCGACTCGTGGCTTGAAATGTTCTGACTAACTGTTTGTGTCTGATTAAGGATAATTTCTTTCTGACTCAGAGTAGATTAGGGTTGTTTTTTTGTTTTTTTTTTCTGGTAAACTTTCATTCCATTTGAGGAAAAACATGAACTTCCCATGATTACGTCTCATGTCACCAAGTTTCCTTTTGTTCTATCAAAAACTGGCAGAATCGAAGAAGGTGAGATGGTGATAGACTACATTTCTGGTCACTCGCACATAATGCATCAATAACCGCTTAGTTTGCATGTTTAAATTCACTCTGATGTGGTTCTACTTGTTTAGTTCCTTGAAATCCATCCTCCTGGTTCATTGAACAAGGAGGATGCAAACCTTTCCATTAAAAACTCAAAGGGAACCGAAAAAGGACTGATGATGTACAGCTCAGTGCAGAAATGCTTAGACATCCCCTAAGTTTTTACTCAGCAGCCATGTCATTTCTCCTCGGTTTGTACCTTAAAAGAGAAACATTTGTTTGTGCTTATTGTGAAACTATTAGTGGCCTTTTTAAAATTTAGGGTGCCTGTAAATCATTAGGGGTGACAAACTAAACTCCCACCTGTAGAGCAGAAAAGTGCCTTAAAATCTGGTGTTAGTGCTTTTTAAGAAAAAAAAAACTTGCATAAGAAAGATTTGAACAATTCAGCAAGAATAATGGAGGTTACTTTCTTTTTATTATTTTCCACAAAAACCTTTTCTACTGCTGTCTTGTTTTCTAGTTCATGTAGTCGTTCATTTTTAGAAGTTATTAAGGGATTATGAAGAAAGCCGTTAATAGCTTCGTCCATGCGATGCCTTTAGCACCATTTCATTCTCACACTTTGTGTCTGGCCCTTGGTGTGTGATGCGTTTAATGTCTCTACACACAGAAGCAGCACTACTGTGGTTGCCGCGGAGATCTGTCCTGCTTTTTTTTTTGTCCTCCAGTATGGGAGTTGTCGTTTTGCTCAAATGCATCAAGAAGTGCATGAGCACTCTCTGTTTTGATTGTATTTCTGTAAACTGTTGCATAATATCCACTTTTTATATTCGATTAGTATTGTAATAAATAAAAGAAAGACTGACTGCAAGATGCATTCTCATCGGCATCTTGTTTCTCATTGGTGTCTCATAATTCTTAAACCATAGTCAAAATTTCTTCTGTTTAGAAGACATTTTTAATCAATTCATAAGGTGCTTCTGCATATTTAGAATATTAGCAAAACGTTAATTTCATTCAGAATGTGAAACCTATTGGATTCATTACCCAAATAATAGTATATATTTTAAGCATATGCTACAGTTAATTTTGAGGAATATATTACAGCCAAAGACCATAGCTTTGTTTTTCAACAAATTGAAAAATCATACAATAAAAAAAAAAAAAATAGCATTTTTAGTACAGAAATTGCCACCTTCTAAAACATACTTCCTTGTATTAAACAGTACATTCGCTCAGTACTTCGTCTGGCTCGTTTTGCATAAATGACTACATTGACAGAGTGTGACATCTACCATTACTTATTTTTGTCATTGACCTAAGAGTAAGAATAACGCAAAACTCAACCATGTACCAGTTCCACATTGGAAAACCAGTTTAATTTACAAACTTGGATCTTTGGTGAGGTGGCTAACCACTTTAAGCAATTCAAGCTAATTAAAATGCATTTTTCTGCATTTTGTGAATGGTTTGATAAGATTCACATCATCCGAAGCGTACTTCTAGTATCAATGTTTCAGATGAAGTTTCTAATGTTGGATTTTAAAAGTCAGGGTTGGTATGAAACCTTCAACTATGCCATTTTAATGCAGACTTCACAGTGACAGTGTTAATTCAATTAAAGGCAAAAAAGAAAGAAAAGTAAATTTAAGAGTGAAGCTGAAATTTAAACACCATCAACTAATCGTGCAGTGCCAATTATTACAATTTAAAGAAATAGCAATATGGTATTTAATTACTCTATTATTAGATAAATAGTATATTTTTGTTAGGGTTATACATTTCTCTTCTACAAAAATCATAATAAAAGTGGCAGTCATTTCTTTTTTTGTGTGCAGTGAAATAAGGGACTACATTACCCAGCATTCTCAGTTGAAAACAGAGAAACTCCAGCAGCACGTGGTGTTAACATGGCGTCCCGCGCCGAGAGGAGAGTTTCGAAGGACTCCAGCAGCAGTGACGACGAAGAGCTTAAAAAATGCCGGGAGGCCGTTTGGGAAAGCCAAACATTTAAGGCAACAGGTAAATAATGCTAGTAGTTCTGTGCCATTTTTACATTTGCAACCGTTTTAGTAATTAATCCGGAATACTCACAGAGCTAGGAGTTGTGTGTTCGTGTGAAATTCGTTGGACGACTAATAATTTTTAGTTCCCTAAATTTTCGTGAGTTTGACGGCCGCCGTGCACAGCAGGAGGCTGACACCTCTGTGTCTTATTTCAGATGGGGATGGCAGTGTTAAACAGGAGTCCAAGCGGTAAGCGTTGTCACATTTACTAATTTTAGAGCAGTTAAACTTAATGAACTTCGTGCAGAGCTGAAAGGTTCCACATTAAATTAAATTGTGGAAGTTTATTTTTTTTTTTACTTTACAGAGCCATATGGGAGAAAGTCTGAATCTGGGATGCATCATGCACCAATCAGAGATGTTGTGGTTGATCTCTGAATGTTGTAAAGCTCTGACCAACCGAGTAAAAAAAAAGACTTCTTTATGATAAAAAATGTTTAATGCAAAACAACATTTCTTACTCCAAAACAGCCCAGGACTTTTATCTAACACTTTAAACTGGTCAATTTATAAATAACTCATTTAAATGATTTAAATGTAGATTAATGGTTTTTATACTCTAATGTCATTGACAAAATGGAAGTTTATGCATCTTGCAGCCACTTAATTAAAACTGAGGAGCAAAGTGTATAAATTCTGTTGTGCAACAGCGTTGTGGTTGCTGACCATGAGCATGACGGAAACGAGCTCCAGGTCACCCAAGGATTTCGGAAACATGTCGCTAGAAAGCTGGAGGATCTTCTGGACAGGTAGGGAAAAGTTGTAATTTACCGAAGAGAATCATTATTTCTTCATGACTCCGATTTTTAAGCAGCATTTTTGTTCTTCAGTTGCATTTCAGAAACGCAGCACATAGACTCAAAATGTCTGGAATCAAAATGTGATGATGGTCAAGATGAGGGTAAACGTCTGCTCTTTCTTTAAGCAGATTCGCTATTAGAGGAACTGACTTCACCTCTTCAATGTTTTTTTTTTTTTGCAGGATTTCGTTTGTTTTCTACATCCGTCCCAGGACAGGAAGACGCCAAGCCTTCGTCACCAGCCAGGCGTCGACCTCCTCCGAGCTCAAGGTTTTCTCTCTTTTTCCTCCTTCCTTTTTATTTCAAACACTTGATTTGGAGTTTTTCACCGTGCACAGAACATTCTACATTTTTCTGCTGCTTTGCAGTGACAGCGACAGCGAGATGGAAACCAGACTGAAGGAGGCAGCGGTGTCCATCAGTGACCTGTTACCTTCATCCATGCGCTCATCTTCCTCAGCAGAGCCTCTCGGCTCAGAATCTGGAGCAAAAAAGAAGAAGGTGCAAGAGGAAGAAGAGCATTGTGTCGTCAAGAAAAAGACGAAACGGAAAAAAGAAGAGAATAAGCAGGACTCTGTATCCTCTGCTCATCACCAAGGCAATGGTGAGCAGGAACACTCTGTAGTCAACACAAAACAAAAAAAGAAAAAGAAGCGTAAAAGAAATACAGAAGAAGCTTTGAACTGAGTTTTTAATCTAGTGTTTACTCATTCGGGCTGTCTGTGTTTTGTGTTGAACTGATCAAGTGGTGTGGAACACTCAATTACTTCTTGGATAACACAAGGCATCTAGTTTGTTTATAAAATAACTTTACATACGTTGTTGATGATTATGCATATTTTTTTAAAAACTTCTCATCAAAAGTGGAAAAAAACATTTAAGGAAAGCAAATTAAAAACAATGCAGGTAACATTTGTTTCATCTGAAGTTACAATTTCCGAGAAAAACAAAATATTTTAATAAAAATATACATTTTGGTGTTGATCTTGAGAGATATTTCTGTTATTTAAGTTGTGATTTTTTTTCCTCTATCAGTTCTAGGTACTACTAAAAGTTGTGCCGAGTCAGTTTTTACTCTCAGACATCACTGGTTGCGGTCTCCGGGTTCTCCTCCCAGTGTTGGCTGTCCATCCCCACACCTCCTTAGTCCAGCTGACAAGCCAGAACCACTACATAGCCAGGGAGGTGTTACTGGGCTGTGGACACCATTTGTGTAGGCATATAGGAGCCGATGTCTGTGGGTGAAGGTGAGAGGAGGTGAGACTGATGGCGTTCTGTCGTCTGGGAGGAAGGATACAACTCGAGGCTCTCGGAAGAAGCTGTTCAGAAGAGTGATAAAGTCAGTTTAGACTCGGCTTAGAGGTTTCTGGCAAAATTAGTTTTTTCTACTCAACCACCCACAGGAGCATCAGATTAGAAAACGCAAATTGTTTTTATTTATACATTAGCACGTCACAAATGATTTATACCATACTCGGTAATTAATGTGAAAAAAAATTGGCAGTGTAGAAATAAAACCCATTTTATAATTTCTTATTGCATCTTTCTGATGGTGAGTGAAAAACAGAAACAAGAGAAATGTTCTATGAGATTTAAATGGACTTTATTAGCTGATCATGAGTAAATATGACTCTGTGCATGAGCAGGAGTTTAGGCAGGTTATTGGTCTGGAGCATGAAGGAGTATCCGTACACTGCCCAGAAGGATGGACGTCAACTTGCTAACAATTGCTTCTGCCGATAAGTCTGGAAAGAATTATGGGATAGTTTCCAAACAGTTCTGGTCAATTTCGTTTGAACCCTTCCTATTTCCAATTCATACCTGTGTGCGACTTCATTTATTTGTATAGTTAGGTACTTTAATCAATTGTCACAGAGTAAACTTCTTTAAATTGTTGGTTGTCAAACGAAACCCCCTCCTGGATGGGTAGGAATTTAGGATGGCCAATGGAAAATGTTCTTCAGCAAACCGTTCCCATTTTATATCCAAAAGAAAGCGGTTACGACAAGACCAAAACTACAAAAACATTTAAGAGAGCCTCATCCCAAGCTGATTTCCAAACACGTTGGTGGCAGGGTGATGGTTTAGACTTGTATTGCACTGTTAAGATCAGAGTTTTCCAGTGCCAAATCAAGCCATCTGTCTGACAACTAAAGCTTGGCAGAGTTTGCGTTTACATCCATCTAATGGAATATCATTTCAGACCTAATCTTAGTTATACTTGGAAGAATTCAGCTTTCTGAACTGCTACTGTGGCCCTGAGAGCCAACAGGGCCACAGTTGCCTTTTGTATTTTCAAAATCACTATTCATAGAGATTCTCTTAAATTTATTTGGACAATGAGTGGTGAGGTTTTGCTTGCTCTGGTACTCTACCTGGTACAGGTGTGTGTGGCTGCAGGTGTAAAGAATCTTCCTGCAAAGGGGAATCCGTCTCTTCCTCAGGATCTGCTGTGAGGATCTACTCAAAAAAAAGTTTAAGCTCGAGGTTTAAAATCTTACTGACGATCTACCAGCCCAATAAAGTCATCAGAGACGTACCTGTCGGACCGCAGCGAGGCTGGTCAGGGCCCCCAGACTGCTGCCGTCAGTGATGACCATGGCTTGAGACAGCAGGCTGGATGAATGGTACTGAGGTGACTCTGACTTGTTGTACACTGTCATGGGGAAGAGATGAATGAGCCTTTGCCTTCTGCGTGATGTTGAACTGATATGCTGTTGAAGCCTTACTGTGACATGGCAGCTGTGTCATGGTTGCCATGAACGGACTGGCAGCCATGTGACCCTGAAGCTGCTGTTGTATTGCCTGCTGGTGGGGTGTGTGAAGCTGCTGCTGGAAAGAAATTGGCTGGAGAGTGGTGAAACCAGCCCCCATGTTGTTAATGACAGGGACAGTCTGCGACTGCGTAGGGGCCAAACCTGTGAAACATCGGGCATAGACCTCACTCTTCGTATTGCTATGTTTTCCATTCAAAAGTATGGAGAGTAAATTGACAGACTGAGCTACCTATTAGAAGCGAGGACTCGCCCAGACTCATGACGCTGGGCACAGAGGCCATGATGAGGCTCTGTGAGGAGGCTGGAGATGCAGAAAGACTGTGCAGGGATGTCAGAGTGCTTACTGGGGGCAGTGGTCCACTGCCAGACACCTGCAGCCAGGGGGAAAGTATGGTCACAACGTTAGGGTTACTCAGAGTGGACTGGTGAAACACCAGGACAAACACTCACCAGCTTGGGGTTATGAGACTCAAGGAGTGTATGGCTGGGTTCTAGTTGCACAGGGCTGACCACGAGACGTCCCACACGGTCCCCTATGCTGCTTCTTGCTGTGCTCCCTGTGTCACAGGAGATTTGCTGGCTGTACTTTACACCTGGGAAAGCAGTGCGAATCAGGTTTCAGGACGATATCCAGGCTGATTAGTTTACACGCATCAGTCTCAGAACCTGCACAGTCATGTCTTCCAAAATCTGTGGTACTTGCAAGGCCGCTTTAGTCGTAACAGCTTAATCCCTAATCTCAGTTTACAGGAAATAGTCCTGGAATAGAAACTGTAGGTTTGCTTAACCAGTTGTGGCGTATTACCATGCTCAGGACTTGTTGGAAGGGCAGCATTAGAGGAGGAAGCTGACTGGCTGTTGAAAGATGTGTCAAGGGCCAACTTGTGACGAAAAGCCTCCTCTTTACGCCGGTTGGCAAACCAGTTGTACACCCTGACTTCAGTAACTAGGTTTGAACCCAGACCAGCAAGCTGGGAAGGGGACACCCCTCTCTGGAGGCACTCGGCTCTGAAAAATAAGAAATACACTTACAGATGAGTTAACAAATGAAAGATATGAACTGAAGTCATTGAATTGACTAAATAAACAAGAAGCAAATGCAACAATCAATCAATTAAATTTTATGTGTATAGCACACTTCAGCAGCAAAGCATTTCAAAGTGCTTTACATAATTAAAATAAAAACAGCATGTGACATTGAAATAAAATCAGTGATGCTTCATTTCCCAAAGAAATAGGATATTGCGAGATGCTCATATGTGGCATAACATCATGGGTGTTGGTTCATGTTTTGCTGCCAAAGCAGCTCTGACTTGTTGAGGTATGGCCTCCAGTAAACCCTTGAAGGTTTGCTTTCGTACTCAATACCAAGATCTTGACAGGCCATCTCAAGTCCTGTAAGTTGCAAAACTACATGGAATGCACTTGTTTGTCCAGTACACCCTACTGATGCTTGACTGGATTGAGAGGTGAAACATTTTTGAAGCCAACACAACTAAAGTTTCTCTAACGATTCCTGAAGGAATTTAGCTTTGTGGCAGCATGAGTGTCTTGTTGAAAGAGTACACAGCCATCAGGTAATACTGTTCCAATTCAGACTAATCTACATAAATTAGTCTGTGCACATAAATTATTTTTTTCCATCAGAAAGACCATTAAATTATTTCGTTTTATGAGCAAGAGTGGCTCAGATGTTGAATCCGATGAAAGGAACCAGCTTTTGCTGTCCACATTCATTTATGAGCCTTCGTTGCCCATGAGTCTGGTGAGCAAGCCGATATAACTACTGCTTGTTCACTTATTTGACCATCTTTGATGGACACCAAGCCATATTTCTGGAGATACTCTGGCCCAATCTTCTATCCTTGACAATTCAACCCTTGTCAGACTTCCTCAAGTTCCTACTCGTTCCGATTTTTATGTTAACATTTCAGCTTTGATGATAAAGTGTTCAGTTTTCTTCCTAACATACCCCACCCATTAAAAGGTGCCATGCAAAGGAGTGAAGCGGTGTCATTCTCGTCATCTGTCTGAGACGATAATGTTTTGCCCTATCGCTGTATGTCTGCAAAATAAAAAATGAATCATCTAAAATCTCCCCACACCTGTTGCATTCCTCTACCAATCCCTCTCTTTCCTCCTTGCTGGGGTTCTTCTGACGTTCATAGGCATTGAAGAGGATCTGTAGGGATGCCGGGCCCCACTTGAACCTGTTCCTCCTTCCTTTCTTGGTGTCTTCTCCTTGTTCCTCCACCGGTGCCAGGCCATGTTTGGCGTTTGTAAATTCTAGATTAAAAAAAAAATAGTTTCTGTTACCATTGTGTCTCCATCTCCTAGGACTGCTGCTAGCTTTGGGTTTAAATCAAGCAGAGCTTGGTGCTTCTGTGCAGGTTTTGTACTCACGCTGGCTGATCTCGCACTGCTTCTTGACGTACCAGCTGTAGAGAGCAGCTCTCTTTTGGTTCTTCATGGGTGTGCCTTTGTTGAGGTGCTGGGAGAGATGGGACTGGTTGAGGCCTGTGGACTCTACCACCTCTCTCTGAGGTAGGTTGTGCTGCTGCATGTAGCTTTTCACCATTTTTGCAACCTGCCAGGAGTCCTCCCTGTTCAGCAGAGAGGGCAAAATACTTAACAGGTCACCCAAACTCAAGACCACACAGCTGCTTACTTTTGAAAGCACTTTGATTGCTGTAAAAATATTGGGATTTTTTTGTAAATACCATTTGTATTCAGAAGTCATGACTTTTGGGTTCCAGGAAAAATCTGCTGGAATGTCCGCTGAAGTTGGAATCATATCTTGTATGAGTTCGACTCCTGTGAGCAATCCAATATAGCTGTAGAGCTACTAAAACTTGTGTTTACACATTGGTTGAATTGTGTCTTGTAAAATTAGTCACGTAGTTAAGAAGAGAAATCTATAGTTTAATGTGAATTTATTGGTTACACATAAAAAACTGCTATCTGACAGTATTGCTAATAGTAATTGGTCTGGTCACAGAACATGGCAAGCATAAAATCTAACTTCAACAATTTTATTTTTTTTCTTTGCAAATGCTGTTTATTAAGTGGGAAGATCTCTCACAAAATGACATTTAGTATGAGAAATAATCTGTCCGGCTATTTTTTTTTAATTTTTTTGGCATTCCTAGTGCATTAGAAAGTTAGAGAACATAAAGAGAAGGATATTTGAGTGTTCCTCTTTGCTTATCTTAGATTATCCAGTATTCTGTGCTCTCACTTTTTTTTGCCTTTATATGATTCAGGTCTGAGATTGATTTGGGAGTCAATTTTGTGGAGATTTTTGGCTGATTTTTCTGATGTGGGTACACAATTAGAAAAGAAAGACTTGGTAACAAGACAGAGGGATGATGGAGGCTACATTTTGCAAAGATGCATTTGAGGCTTCAACTCTTGGTTGCTAAAAACATCAGTTGTATCTAATGGAGTAAAGAGATATAAATATTTAATGAAAATAAAACTTAACTAGTTGCAGAGACTAATGTTTAAGTAGCTAACATACACAAGCTAATTCAATCGCTATAATTTTACATTTTCATTCATTTCAATGTTACCATTTCATGATTAAGCATTTCAACTCAGCAAGGGAACCTGTATTGCATTGTTTCTCTACTCCTGTCCTATATTTTTGATTAAATATAAAATGAATTCCTTGTGCCTCAAAATATTTTCATAGCTCCAGTGAAAATATAGGCCTAGTGTCATTTCAGTTAGAAAAATTGTCTTAACTTGCAGTTTGAAGCAGCCAATCAGACGCCAGGCTCTCACTGACCCCGCCCACTGAGTTTGACAGGTGAAGTTGACAGTTTGGAACATGAAATTATTTATTAAATCATGAAATAACTATGTTTTTACAGTAAAAATCATGACAAATGATTTTATTGACTATAATTAATTATATATTCAATAAATTCTCTGTAGTTCCAGATTTATTAAATTCTTTACACATTAAAAAAAAATTATTTCATAAGTTATTTTTTGTAATTTGGCACTCTTCGCTTCATGTTATTGTTGATGTTTGTAACTTTTACCTCCATAAATGCACATTTCTGTACAAATATACAGGTGATCAAAATGAGTTTGATTACCTGCACCTGTGACCGTCAGTACCAAACGCATATTGTTTCCATCTTAATTGGCTAAAAATTAGTTAGCCAAGTCCAAATAGTTTTCATTTACTTTTTTTTCCTTCTCCATAGAACGTGAGAATCGCTACTAGTTTCTATAGAAGTGTTAAGCAGGTACAGGCAGTGAAAACATTGGACTTAATGTGTTTCCACATACAGGGAAGTTGCATAGAGGCCTATTGACAGAGAGAGATAAGAGAAAGCACACGGGAGCAAAGTCCAGCCCTTTCGGATCACTGGAGGGGAAGAAACATGTAAAAGGTTTATGAGGCCCAATTTAATGTTCGGACTCTGTCTGAAAGCTTGAAAATACACGATACCTTAAAAGACTCCATTTGAAGCAGCAAATATTCAAATATAAGTTCAATTAAATGAAGCATTAAATGAAAACCGTTTTAATGACAGGTGCTTTAACACGTTTTTATGTATTAAGTGTGTCTTTGAGGAATGCTTGTCTTTTTAATTTTCTAAATTTGCTCTTAAAGACGCGCTCCGAAATATTGCTTAAGCGTTATGCAAACACGGTCTCCTGTTACCAGCCCCACTCCATTAATCTTCACCTACCTGTGTGCATGGAGCTTATTTATTAAGAAATGGCAAGGGAATAATGATGGGGGTGGGTAATTAGTAACTAGCAAAGGAGGAACCCTCTTTAAATTCGCCTCAGAAGCCAGATTGCAGAGAGAGAAACAGAGAAGCATGTGAAGGAGGGAGGATTTAGGAAAGAGAGGAGAACCGAAGTGAGGAATAATGTTTCAGACAGAAAAATAGTTTTGGCCAGAACATGGGGGAACAGACTCATTTGATGAGGAGGTTCTAAATTTCCAAAGTGTTTAACCTAGTTCCTTTAGGGTGAAAAAAATTGCTGTGTGTGCAAAGGCTTCAGTAAGACATCAAGATGACCCTGCCGTTGCCATGGAATCTCCAGAAAACTTTGGGATGTACTCACTGCAGCAACCGGTCGACCTCGGCCCTCAGCTTGGACGCCTTTTCCGGAGGAAGCTTCTCCAGCTCTCGGAATATAGGCGGAGGGAAATCCATTTCTCCTTCCTCGGAGCTCTCTCCATCCCCCTTGTCTCCCCTCTCGGCGCCGGCTCCGGCCCTGCTGCGCTCCAGCTCGCCCACGGCTTGGACTAGGACGTCCCGGGACAGCCCGGATTCCAGCAAGGCCCAGATGAGCTGCTCCTGAAGGGCGGTCAGACGACTCGGCCTCGCCATGGCTGCCCTCGCCCTCTCCTCTCCCTCCATTGGTCTGGTGCCTTATCGTGCTGCTGCCTCACAAACAAACACTGCTCACATGTGCTCTCCCTGTCGCATTCAAATAGCAGCCGGACGGCCTGCGTTTGGCCTCATTCTTTTTTTTCCCCCATACACGCTGCCCTTCTTCAAATGAAAAACCAGAGCGCTTTCATTTTCCTCCACTGATTTTCTTCCCGATGCGTCCTCAGCTGCCTGGGTTTTGCTCTCCACCTGCTGTTTTCCTTTCAAAGGTCAATTTTTCTTTTTTTTTTTTTTACCTTCCTCCTTTTCACCCCCTCCTCCTTACGAGCGCCCTGTGAACTTTGTCCCCTCTCCCTCAGTCCCCAACAGTGACCAAAGTACAATTTAAGAACAATAACCAAACATGAGCAAAGTTGCATTTGCTGAGGCTTCTGACAAAAGCTGTCTGCCAAGTCAGGGAACAAGAGCCAATAAATGAGAAGATGTGATTGCAGGTCAAGTGGATTTCTTATTTTTAATGTAAAACTTGCATTCAGGACAGATAATCTTTTTTTTTTTTAATCAGGGTTGTTTTCCACAGCAGAGATTTTCCTCTTTTTATTTCAGAATGCCTGCATACCACACTCTTGATTATTTAGTGAACTTCTAGTGATTCAAAGCGCTGCAAGTTACTGCAGGTCAAGTACAGTTTGATGATCAACTTGTACCACTAGAGGGCGCTGTTGTGCCATCTATGCATTGAATTGGCCCAGTTCTGTAGAAATTTATTTCAGTGACTCGGGTCTCATCAAAACCAAAACAACAAAAAGAAAGGTGAGGTATATATGAGGTGAGGTGTGTGTGTGTGTGTGTGTGTATATATATATATATATATATCATCTTGTAATTAATTATTTTGGAATTATTTACTATAATGTGTCTACACTTGTATTGTTGAAAGAGGCACTCAAAAACAAACTTTTCACTTTCAGGGACTGAAATCTTTGCCAATTCTTTTAAATACAGCTCAAGCTCAGTGAGATTTGTCTGAGAGTGCAAAACATCAATTTCCAAGCCTTACTGCAGATTTTCTCTTAGATTTCTGGACTTTGACTGGACCATTCCAACACAATGTTTTTCTGGTTGCATGTTAAAGGTAATCCTCCTGGGATATTAAGCTTCTTTTTCAACCTCTAGCAGGTTTCAAAAAGGAGAATATTGGAGAATATTCTCCAATATATTGGAGAATATTCTCCAATATTCTCCAATATTGGAGAATATTGGATTCTCCAATATTTAGCTCCGTTTTAAAAACATTGCCACAGCATGATGCTTCCACCACCGTGTTTCACCATTGGGAAGATGAGTTCAGGTTGAGGTGCGATGTTAAAAATAATCTACAGGTGACTTGTGAAGGCAAGGTTGTGTGAAATTTTAATTAGTGGTGTCAGAATAAGATGAGATTAAAAACTGCATACCACACTTTTCAGATAGACTCATACAATTTCTTTCTTTTAGAAGACCTATAAGCATTGGTCTTGGATGTATGCATCTAGCTTCTATTTTAAATAACAGCATAAAAAAAGATCTGCTTCACAAACTACGAACACCATGGTATCTCAGAGTAGAGATGTCTTAGGCTTATTCAGGTATTCATCAAGCACAGTGAGCAGGTTTGAACTTGCAGCATCAACAGGTGATAGAAAACGCGTCACTGTAATTGTAACCAGATTTTTCCCTTTGCAGATTTGTTTCACCCCAATCCAGCTTGCCTTTGTCCTTAATCCATCTCTTGTTCCTTTTGTCAAAGAAAGTTGGCTGGAATTAGTTGTAGGGTAACTGTAAAGCAAACTACATGGGCAAAATCCTTTGAGAGGTAATGTGCTCTTTTAGCTCCCCCCCCCCTCCCAAAAGAGAGCAGCTTCCCCTCTGCTCTCTTTTCAGTGTAAAACGCTCACTTTCTCCACCCCGATCGCATTATACCGTTCTCATGTTCAGCCTATCAGCACCTTTTTGTGTCCAGCTCTTGTTACCCCACCCCACCCTTGGGATGATGGCACTATACAGTATTTGGAAGGGTAACAGAGCTCCCTCTATCTCCCTGAGACATGCCACTGACCTGTAATTAAGACTCATTGTACTACTGAGAGGAAACTCCTCACGCAAACGGACAGAGGGCAGTGTGTGTGGACTTCCAACAGCTCAGATACCGCTGTGACTAATGCCACGCCACACAGCCAGGTTTTATCGAAAAGGAACACATGCGGCATGCACTGGAGCGTGCTTTTTTTTTTGGTCCTCTCCGAAAAGAACTCAAAGCTGTACTGATTGGTAATGAGACACAATCCGCACACTGCCCATCTCTCATTAACAAACCATTGCTCACCACCTCTGTGTGTGTGTTTCCATTGTGAACACCTCTCTCACTCCATCGCGGCTTTGATCTGGCCTACCTTTTTTTTTTAGCCCTCCCCTCTCTACCCCAACCCAACTTATTCAACCCCATTGATCATGCATGCAGAAACTTAACACACCCTTCAATTTCTGCCCAAATGGCCCCTTGTCCCACTTCCAGAGCTCCATCATCAGCTAGTAGACCTGCTTGCAGTCAGGACACTGACCGCGTCGCTCAATCAGGATGGAGCGCACTGTAAGTTACCATTGTGGGGGCACAATCTGTCCCTGTAATGTTCCTCTCTTTAATAAACAGCAGTGGTAACATACCCTTTTTTTATGTTTTTAAAGCACCTCCAAACTTTCTTCGAACTCCAAGCTTCTTGTAAGGCAGCATTGAGTTTTACACCCACCTTAAGTCAAAGCTGTCATTCCCTTTGTCTGAGTTGGACGGGCTATTGATCGGCCTTAACATTAGTTACCAGGTCACATGTTGAGTCAGTGTTGAGAAGATTAGCGGGAGCTGGCTTTAGTAGCTACTAATTAAATGCTTAAACCTCAGCAATGAATGAGCACGCAGCACACAAGCCTTCTGTTGTCCCACACTGCGTAAACCAGTTTGCAATGTGGAGGCAGACAGCACAATAATGGACTCTGAAACACGTCTACCCTTCTCAGAGCGTTAAAGTGATGCAGCCAGACGGCCTTTAGAGCTTAAGCATCAGCTGTTACACAAGTAAAAATCAAGGATATCATTGCATAAGTACACCTCACAATGAACTGTGAGGTGTATTTCAAGCTTTTCAGGTATGTTTCAAACTACGCGTTTATGCAGTCATGAGATTTTTCCTCTAAACTGTGAGCCGTTTCCCTTCCTGTTTCTGCAACATTAAAGACCACTTTCAAACAGGTGAGGACTCCATTATAAATCAGTTACTTTATCTCCAAATCATTTCTGATAACTCTTTATCTTAACTGAAGTGGATATTGGATCAAGGTGGTCAGCATTAGCAAGATAATGACAGGAAGCTAGGAAGCCATCTCTTCAAATTAATGGCCCAACTTGCTTGACTTCCTGTAAAACATAACATCAATGCTACATTTATAGAGAGATTCCTTTCATTCATTATCCACATGCAAATTTTGTGTTATGTTTTTAGTTAACCTACCCAATTGCACTTTTCTTTGGACCGGAGTATACAAAGCAATAAAAAATACTGCAGAATATATTTATGTTGAAATTTTGCTCTTACTCTACTGCATTCTTTTCTTTTTATACTTTTATGTTGGTGTGATGCAACGGACTGACGACCTGTCCAGGGTGAACCCCACCTCTCGCCCGGAACGTTAGCTGGAGATAGGCACCAGCAACCCTCCCAACCCCACTAAGGACAAGGGTGCACAGAAGATGGATGGATGCATGGATGGATATTGGTGTGAACACACTTTGATTGCCTTCCTCTTTGTTGCTTTTGCACCTCTCTGTGGCACAATAAAGACATTTCTATTATTTCAGCAGGAATAGGAAAAAGTGTGGCTTTTAAGTTTTTGTATAAATGCAAGTCATGCAGATGTTTGTTTAAATTTTCTATCTCCTCTGACAACATTTGACGAAAATGTGATGCTTGCCATTCTTTTCGTTTCCATATGTGCAGACAGGGCGCAACTGAGGTGTATGCGGACACAGTATATGCACACACAGCATGTAAAATAAAGGAAATGTGGACAAAAAAAATTTCGGCATCAGTTTGGCGCCCCCTCTAGTGCAGCACCCCTTGTCGCATAATATTGGATTCCAGAGATGGGTAGAATACCCCAAAAGACTAGCACTAGCACTACTTTTAACACATTTTTACTCAAATAAAAGTAAAAAGTAGCCATCCAAAAATTACTTGAGTAAGAATAAAAAAGTATTTGGTAAAAATGTATACTTACGCACGTAAATGATCAAAAATATCAATCATTTAATATTTAAAAATTACTTCCTCAGATGGAACAAGATACAAAGTTATGTTAAACTTTAATAGCTTAAGGATAAAAAATAAAATAATTCATATAAAATAACTAAATCATGGAATATATATATTTTTTCCAAATCAATTTCTTTAATTATAAAACTTTTGCAACTTTAACAAAAACTTCAGGTGCATGTCTATGTCAGGTGAATTTTGGTTTAAAATTAGCTAGTTTTTTATTCAGTGAAGTTACTCACAGTGGGTAGAGCAATATTTCCCAACCCTGGTCCTCAAGGCACAAGGCACACTGACCTGCATGTTTTAGATGTTCCCCTGCTTCAGCACACATGATTTCAATTGATGGGTGATTAACAGGGTTTTGCTGAATTGCAATCATCTGAATGGGGTGTGTTGAAGCAGGGGGACATCTAAAACATGCAGGTCAGTGTGGCTTGAGGATCAGGGTAGGGAAACACTGGGGTAGAATATCCAGACATTTTGCTCAAATAAGAGCGATACTTCATAACAAAATTATGCAAGTAAAAAGTACGGTGTAGTAAAACCTAAAAGTTTTTTTATTTTTTATACCCAACTGGAGGTATTATCGACATGTAAGTCTTGTGAGGAGTAACTAATTTTTTTTCCTCTTAAGCTCTAAAATGTCATAATTCTCCATAAAATAAAGCAGCTGAGCTGAATAAAAACATTAAGTTGTAAGACTTTTCCAACTTTGCTTTTACTTTGAAAAGCGTCACCGGAAGTGACAGGGTTAGTTCCATCTAGCTTGACGCCGGAGCCGCGTGCCTCGTCGGCAGCGGAGGTGGGATGAGAGAGGGACCGCAGCGGGGACTGAGTGAAGGAGGTGGAGTCTGTCCCAGCCTGCATCTGGCCCGCTCCCCTCTCTGTCACCCCGGGCCAAACCCGCCCAGCTCCTCTCACTCGCTCTCCGCCTGTCCTCCCGCACGGCTCGGCCCGGACACACACACCCACCCACCCAGGCAGGCTCACACACACCGAGAGGACTCGGAATGGACACGGAAGGGAGCCAGAGCAGCCTGTCCGCCGCGGACTCCCCTCATGACCCCTGGTAACGGAGAAAAAACCAACAATACAAAAACAAAACACGGCAACTTTGTTTTTCAAAGTTTCTGAAAACAAGCCGGGCTTTCTTGTGAGACCTCTGAGGTGCGGAGTTAGACTCGCACACCTCCACACAGAGAGGCTTCATGCTAAAATGAGATGTTTCTCTCTGAAAACCCATCTGCAGCTCCGGGAGCCCTCTGAAAAGCCCAGCTACAACTTTGTCAGCGCTGTGAAAGTAGCAGCAGCGCTCTGTGCTCTCTGAATGCTGCTTTGTTGACTCTGTTAATCTGCATATTTTCTCACTTTTTCCACAGCAAAATGTTCATAGGTGGACTCAGCTGGCAAACTACACAAGGTAAATCTTTTTCCACCTCCGTGTCTGCTCAAAAGTCACTGTGATTTCTGTTTCTTGTTTGTTTTTTAAGTTACTGCGCAGGTTTGATTAAATCAATGCAGTGTATTTTTGTTTTTGAAAGCGGGATGTGCTTATAGTTGCGTTTACAATTAATTTTACATTTCATATTTTCTGTTGAATGAATGCTCCCATTCAGAGTTAGCAAAGGCTGCATGATTCATAAAGCTCATTGAAAAGTTGTATTTAAAGCAGAAATGCACCGATTACTCGACTGGAAACTGGAATCAGCCATTGTTTCTTTGAACAGCTCTGACTGGTAATTATCGTATCAAATTCTAAAAATATATATAATTTCTTTCCCTCTTTAATAACTGCACAAAAACTAAGCTCTCCCGCTATATTCAGTCTATAAATGCTTTAACCAAAAGCTTTGATAAAATTTGGGGGTTTAATAAAATGTGGTTTTATTACTGGTGATTTTTAATTTAGTGTGTCAAAGTTGAAAAATTCTACTTTTTTTGGCCTATAAACTACAGGCACATTTTTGAGTTTATTTAAAAATCAGATGAGAGCTAAGGATGGATGCCTTGATTCATGAATGGAAATAACTTTAAAAATGCTGCCATTTTCCTTTGAAACACGTTCTCTCTTACATGAGTTGTATATAAAATAATTGTAAGTAATCACTAATGAATTTGGCAGCTCAGGTCTGGGGATAGGAGGAAAAATCAACAGTTGTTATTGGCCCAGGAAACTGTGATCGGTGCACCTCCTGCTGAGGAAATATGCTTTGATTCACAACTTAAGATAATCTAGTAATTTATTTCATTTTCCAATGGCTTCAAAACTGCTACATCTCTAAGGTCACATGTTTTTACGTGTTTTTGCTTTTATGAAAATTAGAGACTTGGCAACTCAGACTTGAAAGAAAAAGAAACTAAACAAATCAGAAATTTGTATCGGCAGTATACCAGAGATTATCGCATCTGCAGCTCGAGAGCAATCCGATCAGGAAGCATACGAGGGCTTGAGATGTACGATTCTCTCTTCCGAATTCTCCAAACTTCTCCTCCTACTTGTTGACCTCATTCGCAGCATGTCTGCTCCTTCCCAAACTCGTCTTGTTTCTGTTTCTGTCTCAGAGGGCCTGAAGGAGTACTTCTGCAAGTACGGCGAGGTGAAAGAGTGTATGGTGATGCGAGATCCGGTTACTAAGCGCTCGAGGTGAGGGAGCCGCCGTGAGTCCCGGCTTCAACCCGCCGAAAGAGCTGAAAGTTTATCTGACCCCCCTACCCCTGGCCGCTCGATTCCTCTCTGCTCATAAAACGCACCATCAGACATCCACGTCGGGTCCTTGTGTCAGTAACGGCTTTCTTGATGTCTGCAGGGGTTTCGGATTTGTCACCTTCGTCGATCAGGCTGGTGTGGACAAAGTTTTGGCCCAAAGCAGACACGAGCTGGACTCCAAAACAGTGAGTTCTCTGTGTGTTTCCTTCCCAGCACTGGCTAATCCCATGGCTCAATGTTTGATTAGTGGATTTTTCCAGTAATCTTCCTGAAAGGTGCAACTTTTCCTACAATATTAGTGTGTTTACTGTGGGATTCCAGTGTTCTGATGAGGGTTTTTTGTTTTTTTTCTCCTCCTCCTCCTCCGGTGCCATTAATACACAGTCCGGGTCCCAAGCTTGCATCTGCTGCCGCACCTCAGATGGGAGCACTTTACATGATAAAGTCATTAGCCGACACATGGGAGAAAGTGCTCTCTCGTCTCTCTTCTGCCAAACAAGGCAAGAAAATGTCACCCAGTGTCAATTTCCATAGAAACAAGGGAACCGGGACAGGGTTGCATTCTCTGCCAGTCTTTGATTTTGAGCCTCTCAGAACACTGAACCAAGACTTGTGTTTTTTTTTCTCCTTTTCTGTCCCCAAGGGGTGGAATTGACCTAACAAAAAGTTTCTCAATGGAACAAGTGAATGCAACCTGAAACCATCAAGGTGTGAAAGCAGCGACAATCAAAACTCCTGCGAGCTTCCCGTTGATCTCAGCCGGAGTAAAGCTGCGAGTTTAGCGATGGAGGGGGGGGAAAAAAAGTCGCCACGGCTCATTCAGGGCTCTTTTCAACCCGTACAAACTGCAACTTAAAATGTATTAATGGACTGTGTTGCGGACTGATTGTGTGTGTGTATGTATGTGTGTGTCTTTTTTGTCAGTAATGAATGTGGGCTGGCCTGGGAACAATGTGGCCTGTTGGTCACCATAGGGACCACAGCCCCCGCCTCCCTGCCTGAGTTGGGAGCGGTGATTGGTGGCGGGTTGGTCACTGTATTGAAATGAGCGCAGGCTATTTTCTGCTTTTCCCTTTTGTGCTTTGGGCGACTCACCTTCACGAGTCTTTGGGAGATAAGTGCGGGCCACAAGAGAAGGCGACGGTGGCAAACTTAACAAAAGACAAGCGATTGCGTCTGTCAAGTTTAAAAGTGAGGGGAGCGGAAGCCATTTGATTGAGAGCTCTGACTGATTCTAGCTGCTAAGTATTACTTTGGTGTCTCTTGTAGGCGCGACAGCTCTGACAAGTAGCGCCATCATGTTTGGACGCCACTAACTCACCATGGGGCTCATTACCATAGCGATGCCCCCACCCCCTCCTCTCGCTCCCACTTCCAGTTGAAGAACAGCTCTGTCACCAAAGACAAAAGATACCAATACGCATGATTTACAGTCATTTCTTGGGAACGGGGAACTGAGTCCCTGAACACTGGAGGCCATGCTGCAGAAAGTTTGTTGAGTTAAATCGCAGTGATGCAACAAAAACTTCCATCTCTGTGCCAGGACTTCTCCCACCTGTAGTGTTTTTATACTTCTTGTACTTTTCCACATTTTGGTGCATGACAATCACAAACTTCAGTGTAATTCATTGGGACTTTATATATTAGATGTCAAAGTGTGACCCAAAAGCGCGTCTGCTAAGTTAGAAATTGATGTAAATTCTTTTTTTTTTTTTTTGGGATATTACCGTCATCTCAATTGCTTTTTTTATGAAAAATGTTAGTGTTTGTCTTTTATTGAACATGCTTTTTGCTCTTATTCTAAGTTCATAGTAAATATGACCATACACTTTCAGCGATTTTTACTGAAAAGCAGGTTAAGGCACAGCTTTTTTTTTTTTTTTTTTTTTTTTTTTTTTTAAAAAAAAGGTTTTTTTTTTTTTGTTTTTTGTAAAAAAAAAAAAAAAAAATTTTTAAAAAAAAAAAAAA